TCACTATTAAACAAAATGTCTAGTACCATCGCTTCGTTGAAGCTACAGAAGCTAATTTTACATGATGCTGTAATTATAAGATGACTATGCTTTCTATAGTCAACACAATTGTATAATTTCAAGTAGCATAGTACTACGTCTAGGCTATTTATTATTCTTGGCATTGTTCTACAAATTTGTTTTTCTGTGTTTGTTTTTGTGTTCAAATAATACACCTATTGAAGTATGAACCAAGCTTGTGGTTTTCAATAGACCTGATCATTAGCACAAACACAACATCAAAATACCGGCACAACTACAATGAAAGTCTATAATGGTTAGGAGAATTTGTTTTCTGATGTTACACCAGTATTTTGTACGTAATAACAGCTCTTTATATGTCGTGTCAATATAGTTATACCTGGTGTGTAAATAACTGTCCCAGTATACATACAACGTTAAAATTTGAAACATCAATGGTGGCTTTATTTTCTCTTTGACAAAATTTGGAGAAAGGTTAAAAACAAATTGAAGATGGATTTGAATCACTTATGATCTCAATCTTTATGTTTGAAATTCATAAATAACTGGATTACAAATTAATAAAATAACAATAAAAAAGAAACATTTCAAAACAAATTTTGTGTCTGAAAATTAAAATCCTTCTTGAAAAGATTGTTGTCATTACAAAGCAAAGTTTCATTCTGTACCTGCAAATATTTACAACGGTGCAGTAGAAGCTGTTCCTGATATTTAGGTGAGAAATAAAACCAGAATGATGAATCTAAAGCAGATGACACATATATATAGGGTAAAACAGGTTTAATATAACAACTTAGACGAGGGAAATAATGAATGTAAAATTTAAGCTCTTTACTTGTTAACAAAACCTACACTGCAAACACACTATCAGGAGGTTCAACCATTATTCACAGCAGCAATTTGCTTTTGCAGAAAGCCGAATCCATAAATTCAACACCACAAGTTGTTGACAATGAGTATTTCTACTAAAAAACGTAAATTTACCATCTAAGATCACCAAACAACTACTGCCAAAGAGAATCTTGTCACATCAATGAGAAATAGAAGCAATAAATAAAATCAAAGCTGTGTATGTCTTATAATAGAAGTACTCTGAAGTAGGTAACTTCACATTTATATGTTCACTGCTTTAAACATGTTTTACTACACACCAACAATCTTCCAACAGTATTGCATCACATGCATTGTCTGATAATACCAATGAACTCTTTGAAGATATTTATGTAATAAAGCAGATAAAAAGGATCACAATAATCTTAACTGGTGCGAACAGATACACTGATATGTTAACTTACGTCAATACTTTCACCCCGTGAACCCCTATCAGTACGGGAATAGATAAGCATCTTCAATCTTCCTCACCCATGGCTAAAGGTTACTTACCAGCACATGCTCCTCCTCATTGCCTTGCTCTTTATATTATTCTTGTTTAGGATGCCTCTATTTAGTACACTGAAGTGCTCACAGCGTACACTGAACCATCAAACTACTATACTGGCAATACACAAGTTACTGGTCCATACAAATTAATTTCAAAACCAAACAAAATGGATTGTTCTAACTCATTGCTGGAGCTTTAGTATATGTAAATAATGATATGATGAAGTTTCCAGCTTAGTTTCATATGTCAGTTGTTGTCCACATTAACCTTCATTGAATCATAAATATAAATAAATCAAATCTGACTGAGTTACTATCAATCTAATTAAAATTGTTTTCTCTCAAGATCAACTTTAACTAACATTCTGTCAAGTTGTGTATTAATTGAAGGTACCTTAAACCTAAGATTGTAGTCTGAAAATGAACGTAACATCACTGGAATCATTCATAGAATCATACAATGATTGATATAATCATATATAACTTCAAATCACTTAAAATTTCAATTGTGGCTTATTGCATTAACTGTTAATGTTCATTTAAAAATAAAAGAACTTTTACGAAATTTCTGTAACATCAAAAAAGGGATAATTTTTTGAGGGGCCATGCAAAGAGCAATTAACCCATATATGAAATCAGTGAATCTATCTTAGAATAAAGTAAAAGTGCACAGAAACAAATATAGGGAAATGAAAATCTAATAAAGAAAGTCAAAAGGATGTGTGTATCTGTTAGACAATTCCACAGTAACCTGATTATAAGAACTCAAGTCTACTGCATCCTAGAAAACACAGATGATGGTAAAAGGTAAAAATGACTGGCACATCACAGGAAAGGTTAATATACTGTAATTGACAACTTCCTCTACAGTCCAGGGATCCCGAGACATTGGGGTGAGGCAACAATTGCAAGTCAACCTCAATCTCTCTCTAGACATTTTCTTGATGTAATTCTATACTCTGATTGTATTCAGCTTCTAACTAACAAGAGCTCTAGTCTAAGAGGCCTGAAGAATCTTACCTGGTTTCGCCTTTCTTTTTCGCAAACATTTTAGCACTTTATAGTTTCAGCAAACTATATATAGCTACTAAATATACCAAATATCATCAATCTTGAATTTCTGGTTCTTCAAAAGAAGTCATTTTAGTGTTTTAACATTAATCTAACCCATGTAGCCTAGAACTCGAGTCAATGTCATTTCAGAAACTTTGAAGCACTTCATGCCATCCAGCCACTGACAAAATCTCATGACTGTTGGCCTCTTTTGATTCTTTAGAAGAACTAGAAGCCATTTAAGTTTAGTGTTTTGACAGATTTGACATCTGTGACTTAGAATATATACAATGTAAATGTCATGCTTATTTCTTTTCATAACCTTTTAAGTAGCATGTCATCCCAGTAAGTTACCAATGCAACAAAACACTCACAACTCTAACGGTCTTGGTTCTTTAAAAGAAGCTGAGTCTTTTCAAAATTTGACCCCAGTATCCTTGAATATAAGTCAAGGTCAATTCATTTTGCACACTATGATTTGTAGCGTATGTCATGCCAACAAGTTTTTGACCAAATATTTTAACTTTAAGTCATTCTGTTTCTCAGAAGAAGTCATTTGAGAATTTTAACAAATATGACCTCTGCGACCTTTAACATAATTACAGGTTTTAAAACTGAAAATCTNTGTGATTCTGTATTTGTTTATCACAATTTTCTTACACACTTTACTATCTCTATTGTGTATATTACTATTGTGCTCAGTAAAGGGCAGACAGGTGAGATGCTAGCCAGACATGAGTAAATCCTACAAAAGTGTCTTTTCTTGGATTTCTGGCATGATCAGGTATCACTAAGCTTGCTCCATTCCAATATCACATGTTAGACACAAAAACCACCAGCTGTTGAATAATGTACAAGAAATGATTCAGTACATTGAAGTTTATGTTTGTTAATGTTGACTCTATATTAAACCCCTGTAACAGATGGGGATCACTGCCTGCTTCAGACTCCCACATGTTGGACGGATACAACAGTATTGATCAACTTGTCATGTGATAATTATGCAAATCTGTTCCTTCTCTTGATGGTTCGATAGATTTCTAATGACTAGACCAAATATTTAGGTTACAAATTCAACAATATAATCCTAAGGGAGGTTTAATTTAGCTGTCTGTTTAGGAAGAAGAGTTCCCACTATTGTACATATATATGTATGTCACAATCTATTATAAGGTTGAATGTTTGTTATACCGGATAACCTAAACAGCAGTCTTTTACAATTGTGATACCATGGGACTATAATCAAAGGCTACAACAAATCTATAGATAATGATTGGAATAGTTTCTTTTTACTTAACCCTTAATGTTTAACATATATACTTTGGTTAAATCCATAGGTATTATTCCTTCTTCCAACACTCCCAATGCTGCTGATCCTTATTATCCCCTGTCAAGAGATTATTCAGCCAACTAGAAAGCTTATCCATGAAACTGTCAAAACCCTAATGAAGCTATATATGTCTGTCTTCTCCTTTCTGAAAATAGCATTACATCATGCCACAGGCTATATAGGGCAATGGGTGCTACTTGTAACAGTCATCCAGTGTGTCATGCTTGTAAATATCAGATCTTCCTCAGGTTATTTTAGGGGGAAAATCACCAATCAAGTCTTCATTGTTTCATAGGCATCAAAGTAATCGTTTGATGCAGACAAATTTTTGTAGAGAAAAGAATGTTTTTTTCACCCTCGTTTAACAGCAGTGAAGGAAATGTTGATCATTCATGATTAGTCAACATCTTTGTTTCAGAAAATACATGGTTTAGTCTTTTTCATTCATTACATTTTGAAAAATTGGTGTGAATAAATGCATTATGCATTATATCATGACATAACTTATTCCTACTTGTAAGTATAAATGTTGATGGGTTTTATAAGCACAGAAACATAAACAGTACATTAACCGACACAAAACATAACTTGTATTTTTCATACATGTCTGAAGCACTTTAACGAATTATTCCTTCGAAATAGCAGTTTTGGTTGTAACACATATTAATTTCATCCTGGTTTTTTTAATTATTTGCATTTGACCTAAAATGTCGGGGTAAATTCAAATGCAGTTCCCTGCAATGGAAAGTTCATAACTGTTGTAAAACCTGGCTGATTTCAACAAGTTTGTTTCAACAGGCCTAGGGTGAAAAAGGTTTGAAGTAATAACTGACTTATCAATGATTAAATGCTTGATTACATACTGTAGATTTACTGAAAGACCAACAACTTTTCCTTTAATTTGCTATCAATGTTCATCCACACAAACCATATCTTCAATAAAATAGTTTTATTGTTTTACTCTTTAGCGTTCCAAGTGCTACCAAACTACTTCAGGGAAGGATCGATACTGTCAATCTTGATGCATCTGCATACAGTAGTACATGTATTGAAGAGTGAGGACTTGCAATTGGTTGATAATCAGTTCTTGTCTTGTTCAACTATAAGAAAATCGGTTCATGCAAACATCAGACAAAGGTTATTTAAAGAGAAAAATTCAAATCCAATTAATATTGTTTCGAAAGAAATACAAATAAAACATGCATTTAACACTTACTCGGTCTGATCATTGAGGAAGATTACAAATCCGGTGAGTGATTCATAGTCCTTTCCTGCCTTCGCTGATCCATCCACAGTTTTGAAGGGAATCTTCACTGTACCTCTGGCACCAGATGAACGAGTGACCTTGATGTCGGTCTGACCAATGGCCTCGGGAACAACAACCATTTTCTCATCAAAGAGGAATATTCCAGGGTGATCATCATCTAATATCATGACAGTGGCTACGAATGGTGTTCCAAGCTTGACCTTCATTTCGGAAGCACTGCTGTCAAACATGCCCTGAGCATCACCTAAACGGACATTGCTGAGGCGCACATAGAAGTGTTCATCTTCCTCAAAGATTTCATCATCAATGATGCTGACTGGAATCTGCTTGTGGATTTCATGAGGATAGAAGACCAGGGTTCCTTCAGCATAATCAAAATCTGCACCTCCACTGGCAGAGCCATCTTCAGTTTTATAATCCACATACAAGGTCTTGCTGAGGTCACCGCCCTCCCTTGAAACTGTCAAAAAGAAGGTTCCGATGTTTTCCATTACAGTGTAGTGACCAGGGTCAAAGATGACTTTCGTGGTGAACTGGTCACGGACTTCCACTTTCACATCTTCTACACTTGCTTTCCTATCAATCTTAGCCTTCTTGATCACTTTTCCACCTCCAGTGAGTTTCCTTGTAGCCTGAATTCGGTAAAATGCCCTACTTTTTGGTCCTCTGTTGATTGCTTCAAGCTCGGCCATCTCTTCTAAGGCCTTCATGTCAGAGTTTGGATTCTTTTTACGAAGATTACGCATAATTTCCATGTACTCCTTCCTGTGCTGTTCATACACCATGAGTTCCTTTACATCAGCAACATTTCTGATATCTCTGAAAACTACATCATCTACATGGTTCATTTCTGTGTCACCTTCAGCCTGAATTACCACTCCTTTCTGCCTACTTTCCCTGTACTTTTTGGACAAAAATTTGTGTGGTAGAAATTTGATATCTGCAATGTATGCAGTTAAGACAGTTATGGGGAAGAAGACAAAGGTAATTACGGCTTCCCATACTTCTACTACTCCATATGATGAAACGGACAAAATGAAATACATCCATAAGTAAGCAAATATACTCCATGTTGCAGTAATGAAGAATACTCGTAAATGTTTGATGGTACGTTTGTCACCTGCAGGAATAGCAGACACACAAATTGCTGTAATGACAAATAAGTTAAAAGCAGCACTACCTACAATGGTACTTGGACCTAAGTCTCCAGCTTCAAAATTTTTACCAACGACTTCTATACAAGAAAGAAGAATTTCTGGTGCTGATGAACCAAGAGCCATAAGGGTCAAGTTTGACACTGTCTCATTCCAAACTCGGACATTGACCACATGTGTGCTTCCATCTGGTCTGCGAATTACAACATCCTTTTCCTTTGAAGTGATGACTTCAATAGCAGACATGAATCTGTCAGCAATGATGGAGACTCCCAAAAACATGTAAATCATGGCTACAAAATAAACAATGGCTCTTGCAGCTTTATCACCAACGCTGAGATTCCTTGTTGGTGTCCACAATGGGAAAAATATACCAGCTTTACAGGGTTCAGAATCCATTGTACACCCTGGTGCATCTGTGACATTTTCAGGAACCATTGTTGTCACGGTCTGAGCCTCGGAAAGTGGTAACATGTCCAGTAAGGCCATAGACAGAAAGCCAAGGGCAAGGGGCTTCATTCCCACCGACATGGTGAACCGTCTGTACCAGCTATCCATTATGAATTTTTCACTGTTTCTTCTATCACAATTTAAGTTTTTCCCTTAGCCCTGTAAAAGAAAAGAACAAAATGTTAGTTAGATGTTTTCAATTACCATATCCACAATTATGTCAAAAGAAAAACAATTATTAAAAGCCATTACAATTTATAGCACATGCCCAGAGATTAACAATTTCTACTATTAGGTCTCTGCATACCTCAATTGTTTCACTTTAGACCTCCAAGTTTGTAGCAATGTACAAATCTTTTTATAAACTCATTTTATACATAATTTATATTCATCAAATACACCAGATCAATAGATAATTTTATCAACTCTCTTTTTATGATTTTATTGCACTTAACTTAGAAAGCTAGACAAAATCTGACATTTCTTCATGTAAAACCCACACTGTAAAGATTCCCTTATACAATAACATCCAATGAGAGTTGGATTTCAATGGGCAAATATGCATTGTACAATAGGATAAATGACAACTGGATTAAGTGTAAAACACTGGTAATATACATGTTCTGGGTATAAACTGGGCTACGTTTTGAAGGAATTCTTCAACAGAACTATTAATCACATAATATGAGAGATTATAACCTTTACAACAGTTTGTCTTGAATGATACCAGGTAATACAACAGCATCTTTCAAATACCTTCTGTGGATCTTGGTTTATTTCATGACAAAAATCAAAGGCTTTGTACATGCCACCATCTAGATGTTAGGCATTAACTAATCTGAAAAAGGTTACGGAATCCTGCTGTACATTCGATGTCTTTGATTAAACAAAATGGAATCCCATGACAGCATAATTATTCAACAATAGTGTGATGGAAGCATATTCTTTAAAAGGATTTAAATGTGAGCTCATTAACATTTGATGAAAAATGATAATCTGGTATTGATAACACCTACATAAATCTTTCAACAGACAAAAAAAAAGGATTCAAAACTTGGGTACAAGGCGGTTAATATTTCCATAAACTTCCTTTTCCATCAGACAAGTTTGTAATTAATAGAGCCATTTATATAGTTAAAGACATAACTGTATAAAAGTAAAACACAATTATAACAAATCTCGTGGAACCTAACACATCAGCTACAGATGTAATTTATTACAGAGTTGCAAGTTGATGCGACAACTACTTCCAAGGGGACAAAAATAGGACTGTCAAAAGCAAGAACTTACAATAATTATGTTCATTCTGTACTGAATATGTAGCAGTTGGTAGACACACAGTCTCACCACCTAACAGATGATTCCATATAACTTTGACTCTTGAATTCAAAATAGTTAAAAACGAATGAAGCAGTAGTCCGATAAGACAACAAGTAAATATCACAGTATCTTTCTCATTAACATATTTCAAAATAAATGATGCATAGTTTCTGATTCAAAACAGAATGTTAAGTTTCTGTTTCAGTACATTTATGTACATGCTAGCTGAAACCTAATTGTCTCCTATGAATTTATGAATGCATATATATATATATACAGTACCAGTAGATCTATACGTATTACAGGCAGAATGCCTCCGACATGAACGCAGTGAATACGGTTTATTGATATTTTTTAACACAAGCAGAGTTTATTCAGTGTACATACATGTAAATTCCTCATTAGTTGAACAACCTATAGTAAACCCAGCAATGGGACCTGCCTTCTCCGGGGATTTCATATACCAGATGTTAATTGGATAGATACAGGCCTACATGGAGAGGTGTACATGTTGTTGCCTTAATGAAAAAAAACTCCATTTTGTTTCTAGAACTGAAATATAGATTATGTAGCAATACAGAGATATTAACTATTAATTAGAAAATAATCACTTAATTGATACTGTGGTCTCAAACAGTCTCAAACAGAAATATTAATGAAAATTGGTGTAACTAGGCCACACTGAAAATAATTCTGTTACACAGTAAAAGACTTCCAATGTACATTATTTACCTCTGGTGTTCAAACTTTGTTTTTTGCTTGTAACAAAACAGAAAGGATTCATGTTCTAAAACAATCGTTGTCCAAAAGAGCAAATTACACACCGATTCTTTGGTGAAAGTGCTCTTTATGAATGTATAAACACTGTCTTGAGCAAGTGACTGCCACCGTGCCGATACTTACTGATAAGGTATATGCAAGAAGCTTTTTCACAAACACACATTGCTGTTTAGAGTCATTAACCAAAATATTTGATTACTTTTCAAATGGACAGGTAACAGGATTATTTATACTGGTCTATTCTATGATGTACCTATAATCTATACAATGTATCATTCTACAGTATCAAGTGTTAGAACAGGTTAAGTGATTTAACTGTATTCACTTTTCACTAGACAGTATTTTTTTCAACCAAGTTGTTTGATTATGTGCAGTGTTGCAACAAACTGTATCCGATATAATTTTATTGGACAATGCAACTTTAATAAAACGGAATGACATATTTAGCTAAGCATGCCAGAAACAAAAATAATAATTATATAAAAATTGAATTTTATTGTTAACTGATCAATATGTTCATTTGGAATTTTTTCTATGGTTTTCCACAAAATTTGTTTAAATCTAATTGTGCAGATCTATAAAAACTTAGATTTTTTGGAAAAAGGAACTTGCCAAAATTTCAAACAAAATACAGAATAACATTCAATTAATTGAATGGTGCAAAATGTCTTTTCAAAATATTCATATATAGTCCCTGTCTAAAATTCCCTGCTCATAAATGCACACAATGGTCAGCCAAAGCATTTGAAAATATCACCATTCATAACATCCCTATATATATAATTGGGTATTAAATATGGTTAATGAATCAGCCAAACATATATATATTAATGGAAGTAGTACACTGTAACACATCTAGATAATTATGTCTATGTTGCATTGATCATATTAATTATGAACAGGAAAATTGTCAAGGGATAAAACTGTGGTGACATCTGCAGGATCAGTTGCTGCTAGTTCTGTGGTGACAAGCTTTAACGTTGGCTTCAGCTTTTTGTTTGTGTAGAATTTAAGCATCATCATAGCAACAATATTATTTCTATCATATACCAAATGCTGTATTAAGCACAAAAAGTACATGTACTGGTAGGTTGATTTATTTGATAATTGTCATGCTGGATTAAATTACAAACACTGTTTGAACCCTGAATATGACATGTTTCATTGATTATGTACGTTTTGTTGAGAACTACCTTGTGAACGTTGTTTTTATCCCACAGTGAAAGACATATGTACCACCATGCAAATATATACTTATAGCTACTTTCTTTATGGTGAAAATAACAATCCAGAAAGCAATTAGTTTTGGTTGTACTTTTTGAAATTAAACATGCATAATGTTTTAACCCCTATATTCATACTGAAATGATCACTACAAAAAAAAACCAGTTCAATAATCAACACAATTCATTTGCCACCTCGCTTACCACCAAAACTTCACAATTTCCTTTTTTCATAATAATGCCTTTATACTTTAATTAATATATAGTCAAACCCGTTTTTAACACCGAAGTTTTGTCAAACAATAGCTGACACTATAACAAGGTATATAACTGTACTTTAAAGTACTGAAAAATACTTAAAAATTGTGGAGGATTCTCACTTTAAAAAACTTATTGTTATTTTTTTTTTACCGATCACGGTGAACTTTTAATGTGGTGATCATGCAAGCATAAGTTTTTCTGTATACCCATGATTTCTCAACATAGCAAATAGTATTCATATATATACCAAAATGAACAAAAAAAAGCAAAAAATATAACTTATATTAAAAATTCAAGAGAAACTCAATTTGTTTAACAGAATCACCCCACAATAAACATAATAACTGGTAAATATCATTTTTTATGAGTAACAATAGTCAGGCTTCTTTATTAACATGTGCAAAATTCACCCCTCAACATGTGCAAAATGTTCATAGACATAGCACACAGAGGAAAGTTAATTACAGTGGCTGAATATGTATAAATAGCACTTACTGACACCTATGTTCACCACGCCTGCTACCTTCAGTAATTTTAATTTACCATGTATCATAGCATAACCTTACTCATAGTGAATCAGCATAGATATAAGCCAGAACCTGCAGCATGAATTCACAACAGTATATTAGTTAAATATATTGTATACTTTCAGTAACTTGAAATAGACAATTTAGCAATGTACACATGGGTGTCAGTAGGTACACGTAATAAACATTTGTAACACAGTCTACAAGTAGATTATAAGCATTAAAACGATTGTCAAATATTTTCAATATCAAGTAGATTCTGTTACTGTGGTAATATATGAACTATTAATCACATGCAGTGTCAAGAAAGACTTGCAATATACCCTTTGCCAATCTTTTATGACCAAACGATCATGTACGTTTTGGTTATTAGGTAAACAGAACCACTACATAAGTAATATTAGTGAAGAAGAGTTCCATTGACCTCAGAGCTAAGTTATCAATAATATATTTATATATATTAGCTGCTCCCTTATAAGTTATAATGAAATAAGATGAAGTGTTCTTGCTGATAGAGTTAGTTCCCTTTTCAAGACAGTCATCTCACTGTGCATTTACAGTTCCTTGATAGCAACATTGGGTACAATTCCCAAGTTTGATCCATGTAGCTTTTAATTTTAATTTTATATTTATTTTTGAGTTTAAGTACTCAAATTTGAAACAATTGTAATTCTGTAAAATGCATTGTAGGATGTTATTTATACAGAACATATCAGGAGAATAACCTTTAAGGTTTGACCTACATGTAGCCCCATCCATCAGTCAATCAATCAAATACCTTTAACAAATATTTCATGAACTTGATTGTGAAGTCTTTAATTGAAACAATTTTCAGTTCTCACCAACTATGAGTGATCTGATTAAACGATATTGCCGGAAACTAACGTGAACCATGACAGAGTTTTTGCGTTTCCGTGGCAGTGTTACTTTCATGACATTGTTATTCAACAAACACCTTTAGTCAAGTAACATTATTAATCTAACTATACTTGCCACCTTTTTTAATATTTCCATGGGGGAGATTCTGCATGCTCAAAATCAAAACATATAAATATGTGTGTATACAAAATAGCCCTTTAACTGACATATTTTGAGTTGTTCTCACCGATAACCTCATTAGATCATACAATATAGGAATAGTTAAGCAAATTCACTGGTTGATAATACTAAATGTAAGGGTCCAAAACCAGGTGTCACCCTCCTAAATAGGGAGAATTGGCAAGTATGTCTATTGTCTAACAATCTTGAAACTAACAATGCATCACTGTGTGAGAATTACTATTTCCCCACTATCTACAAAAGTAATTGCATGAAATCAAAGCTGTACCAGTAACAGTAGTAATGTGTAGCATGTACTCAGACAGTACAACATTATCTGTATGGGCTAGTGCTTCCAGAGATAGTGTTACTGCTACATAATTTTTCCTAGCTGCATGCAAATAGCTATAGCCTACAGATGACGATGTGCTATATAGATATGAGCTACAGCTTCAGAGATAGATACATGACAGACAGTTTATTATTTTAAAGCTCTTAAAATTAAGATATTGCATATTATCAAAAAATATTGCAATAAAAATCATGATCACTTTACAAAGACAAATAGTATAGATGTATATATAATTATGCTCTTTGTATGACTGTCTATAAACTTACTGGGGATAATAAGACAAAAATAGACCTGAAACTGATACCCTATCTGATGGTATTGTGCTGTTTATTATGAACACACTCAAACCTGTTTATTAAAAATTCAAACATCTTGAATGGTCCCTTTATCTCAAAATGACTTCACTTTTGGTTTCATGCCAGTGTATTGTTTTGAATGTTAGTTTGGCTACCTAATGTTCATACACCAGACTATTTTCCATTTACCTAAAATTCTGTTTATGGTCCTAACCACTTTTGCGTAACACTACAGGATAATAGGTACTGTATCAATGCAAATGAATTAGCATTATAATTAACATGCTGGGACCGATTTTAGAAATATCTGAATTTAAATCATAAATAAGGAACAATTAAGGTATACAATTTACATCAGTAAGTAAAAATATTTGTATGCCCTTTGTCAATAATTGGCAATCCACCTATTCATTTACTTGAACAGTTATTATGTATTTAAACGGCTAGAGCAGAACACAAAAGTAAGTTATTAAAATACATACCTAAGCAGTAAGCATGGTGTTATATCTAGCACATACTACCTGTAATAACTATTTGGACTTCATAGCATTCAAGTCAAATCTATCACTCTTTACATCACTACTTTCCTATTTAATATTACTAACCTTTCAGGTGCTAGCAGTGGAGTACAGTGCAGGCATAATAACAGTACAGCAGTGAAACTGCCTAGTGGGCTTACAAGGCATGCTTGCTAGTAGCCTAGTACGTGCATCATATTGTACACCGACTCAACAATTATTATTTGTACTGAAAATTAATATTCTATGAGAACATCAGTTAAGAAATCATGTTCAAAATGCATCTTTCGATAAAAAAATCTATGATGACAGTGGTTACACCTTCCTTACCTGCAAGACCCTTATTGCAAGGTCTTTAAAACACCATCATATAACGTTAAAAATCCACAATAATAGAAAGGTGGAGTACATCAGAAATCGATGAGCATCATATTGATAACATAAAGATGGTTCCTATACTTCAATTATCACCCTGTGATATCTGTATATATACTTATGCATATTCAGAAGAGATGTTGCCTGGTGAAATCCTATACTCCCTCACTTTCACTGGCAACCATGACCACTTTTTAGCAGACGAATTTTACACACTGTCCACCGAAAACACACTTTATCGCAGACTAAAATTAGTCCACGTACATGCAGAAGAATAATAAATGCATACCCTTTGTAGAACTGTCATTATTTCACTCAATATTACGGCTCAGTGTAACTGTTACGTATTCCATACATTATCCATGAACGGTAGCCCTCTGTCTACTACTGTGCCAGATCGTTTCACACCAAGTCGTCAATTACGCTAAATATGGCATTGTGGGTACATCAGCAGATAGCGCTTTTCACCAGAATCAGGGGGAGACAATCAGTTGCAGCAGCCGCAACCTGTCGGTGAACGAGGCGATATGTTATATTATCATGGCTATATACCGCGGAACTTCCGAATGGGACTTCTGTGTATGTCACTATTGAGGTTAATCTCCTCTACACATGTATTTAAATGAACGAGTGACTCCAGAGTTAGTTCACTGTGTATCAAGTCTGTACAGAACAATAACAGTTACATGTATGTTTGATGCGCTAGCTATAGGTAGGCGTAGGTCTATACAACTATACGGGACGGCTGTACGGTGTTAGCAGCATATTTGACACACAACAGCGCTAATGCAAATTTAATCTTAATATCTTAATAACAGTGTTGATTTTTTATTTATTCATTGTTATTATTCATGTTTTCAAAATGATTACTATTATCATGCTGAAAAGAAGCAGAGTGACTCATAAGCGTGTTATTAATAGGTTTGGCAACCTAATACAAATAATGACAGTAAAATTAGAAAATCTATATATACTGATGCGGAAGAAAGTTATATTCTTGTCTCAATTTTTGATGTCAGAAATTGTAGGCAAAACTTAGGATAAGTAATCGTTGAGGTTTGTAGAACTAACCATAGTAGTGCGGTGTAACATATTGGAAGATGAAATGGATTTTATTTTTTGCTGTAGAAATTTCATCACCAGACATTCTAATATCTGAAAAATAATGAGCACTAACTTATTTACAAAACTTAATATTGGTGTTGCGATCGAATGACCGATAGTGTATGCATGAAATGGGCCAGATCATTTGATTGAAACTTGCAAATTCGCGGATCGCTTGTCCAATTCAATATACGGATTGACAAATACACTAATGTGAGAACTGTTTGAGACATTGTTTAAGTTTAAGTTGATTATTTCATGTTCAGAGATGATAGCTGAAATGTCCATAGCTTGTACTTGACCACTTCTGTGATGTAGACAATAAACTATAAAAACGATGCCGTAAAAAATAGTCTTAATGATACGGGATTTCATGATGGATATAACCCTTGTCGAGCTTACTTCATTGTCATACCATGGAGATGCCAGTTTCATATTTCCAAATTTAAATAAAACAGTTTTACGTTGACAAAATAAAAACATACTTAACGTGATCTAAACTTTGTGCTTTATTACTGGGTTTCGACTTTGTAGATCGATAAATAAAGTGCGGATGGGGGTAACTGTGTAGTTTATGTACGTGTTTATATACAGATAGCTCAGCGGCCTGTCTTTATTACAAATCTGAGACTTAAAACACAATAGCTTATCTACATGTACGTCACTAGTTCAAACTTACCTATAAGTCAAGTTTCATTCCCGCATAAGCTAATATAATTGCTACCCAGGGTCGACCTCTAACACTAACATAAGTCGAATTGTGTGACGTCATCAGACAGACTTTAGTACATGTTCAGACATTTTTACCGACGATAAATATTTTACGTTACAATCCATGTTTCTATTTGATTGTGACAAAGCTTACGAAAATGTTATGCCCCCTGCTGCAGTTTCGCGGACCTTAGAAAGGAATGATTTTCTTCTGTGCTGTGTTGGGGCATTCTTGTAGAATGTTGGTATTTATTGTGTTAACTTGTACTTATCTTTTTTATGAACCGTGTATAGAAATAGCTTGTAACCCCCTGTATGGTAAACTTTTATGTGTCAAGAGTGTACGAATATATTCTATATACTCACAGGTACATGTATACAGAACCACAGGTATATGTATACATAATCACGGGTACATGTATACAGAATCACAGGGACATGTATACATAATCACAGGTACATGTATACAGAACCACAGGTACATGTATACAGAATCACATGTACATGTATACAGAACCACAGGTACATGCATACAGAACCACAGGTACATGTATACATAATCACAGGTACATGTATACAGAACCACAGGTATATGTATACATAATCACAGGTACATGTATACAGAACCACAGGTACATGTATACAGAACCACAGGTACATGTATACAGAATCACAGGTACATGTATACAGAACAACAGGTACATGTATAGAGAATCACAGGTACATGGATACAGAACCACAGGTGCACGTATACAGAATCACAAGTACATGTATACAGAACAACAGGTACATGTATACCGAATCACATGCACCTGTGATTCTGTTTACATGCACCTGTGGTTCTGCATACATGTGCCTGTGATTATGTATTCATATTCCTGTGGTTCTGTATACCTGTAGCTGTGGTTTTTTATACATGTCCCTGTGATTCTGTATAAATACACCTGTGGTTCTGTAAACATGTAACTGTGATTCTTATTTGTGATTCTGTTTACATGTACCTGTGGGTCTTATTTGTGAATCTGTTAAAAAGTCCCTTTGTACCTGGGTCTCGGAACGTGTCCCTGTGTGTGGAGTCTGTGCCGAGTAAGGTCACTGACTCATAAAAGCAACCCATACAGTGAAAATGTGTGTGTTGTTGCAAATTATTGTTGCGTGTATGTATGCTATACAGACGTGGTATAACCACGTTCACGCACAATTACATCCAATTCTCTTCTCACCTTTTCTCGTTATATGTATGTGGAATTGTTTTCCCGTGTCTGGATTTGTACCATGTCTAAGGGAGGATCGTGGCGCACAAGGCAAACTTTATTGTAATTTCTGTAGATTTTTTTATCCTGTCATTATAAGCTACACCACATAATAGAATGTTTTGTCCTATATTTTGGAATAAATCTATAATTAATTTGAATCGTTTTATCAACCCTAGATCAAGGCTACCTTTGTAGATCAAACATTTACACGCGATTTATATGGTCGTATTAATATTAATTAAGATCAAAATCCCACAAATGCTGTATCATCTATAATTCAACCACAATTTAATGGTCTGTACATAACACGGCGACTGTGTAGAGAGTGTTCAATCACATTTAGGTGACAGTCATGCTGTAATAATAAATCTAAGTGGTACACGTAATTGGTATGCAGATGCGACATACCGTACATGTATAGGTGATATACATGTGTTTTACATAAAACAAGAAGCTGTTTTCAAAAACATACTGGCCTTTTTTCATGGAGATTGACATCCAGATTTGTTTACATCATGTGCCACTTCCTGGTTCTATTTGGGAAGTTATGTGGATAGATATTAGTCTGTAGATAACTGTCGATCATTCGTGTGCCGATTGATTGATTGATAGATTAATTAATGGATATCGATTATTTAATTTGATTCATTTAAGTCACGACTTATTGATTGATCTATTAATTGATATTTTAAGATCCCTGCCTTGTGTGTGACAGTTTGTAATACGGTTTACCTTAAGGTTTGCGTGGGCGTCTCCTTGTTATACCTGACGCAACATTCAGTCAGGCAAGAACCCGGATATGTCTGACAATAGTGGTAATACGAAGTAAAGTTTTTATCGGATTATCTCATTCTCATATTCATGTATGCGTGCGATGTATGCATTATCTCGTAAAACTCGGACATGCTATCACGGGATGTTACATGCCACTGCACATGTACTTTACGTTACAAGTGTTTAAGCCAAAACTATTCGAATCAATTACGAAATGTTCTGGTCGGCTTAGCAATAGCAGTGTTGGTTTTACTTTATAAGATATGGACATAGAGGCAGGTGGTTTCCCGGGTCCATAATGTATCCTATTAAATCCTATTAAAAGTAAACATGTACCATTCACACGTAGTTTATGTTGGTACGGTAGTGAACAGGTCCGGTAGAAAGTAGTTTTACTATAGCATGTCTTTGTTTGAATTTAAGAACAGACGTGCCAACGTAACAAAGGACATGAACCTGCATTTAAAACGCAATCTAGAAAATCTGCATATCGTTGACAACATAATTCAATCTGATGATTAAGATGGCGATGAGGATGATTATGTTCAACGAAGGCGATCGATGCTATAAAGGTCTTCATTGAATGCCAGCTTGTAGATTTTTATTCAAGAGGAAGAACATATTTGAACTAGTAATAATTGTAACGGATGGCCGTTACAGATTAGTCCCCCAAACAACCCCTGTTGGACTTAGGAACAAAGGCAAAATCAGACAACAGCTAAATTTCGACCAATCAGAGGACTCCATTTTGTTACCATGGCAACTGATCTGTTCGAAACTGTTACCATTGTGTTTGGCATCCCTTAAAACCCCTATGTACCAATTCTGGGCAGATTCAGACAACATTTAAATTTCGACCGATTAGAGGCCTCCATTTCGTTACGATGGCAACTAAATCTTTCGTAACTGTTACCATCGTGTTTTCGCATCCCTCAAAACCCTTATGTACCAATTCTAGGCAGAATCAGACAACATCTAAATTTCGACCAATCAGAGGCCTCCATTTCGTTACCATTGCAACTGAACTTTTCGAAACTGTTACCATTTTGTTCGGAATTCCTGAAAACCCCTTTGTACGTATTTTGGGCATAATCATAAAACAACTAAATTTCGACCAATCAGAGGCCTCCACTTCGTTACCATGGCAACTGAACTTTTCGAAACTGTTATCATCCTGTTCGGAATCCCTGAAAACCCCTATGTACCAATTTTGGGCAGAATCAGAAAACAACTAAATTTCGACCAATCAGAGGCCTCCATTTCGTTACCATGGCAATTGAACTTTTCAAATCTGTTACCATTGTGTTCGGAATCCCTGAAAACCCCAATGTACCAATTTGTGGCAGAATCAGACAACAGCTAAATTTCGACCAGTCAGAGGCCTCCATTTTCGACCAATCAGAGGCTTCCATTTCGTTAACATGACAACTGAGCTGTTCGAAACTGTTTCCATTGTTTTCGACAGCCCTGAAAACCCTTATGTATCAATTTTCTACGAAATCAGAGCCAAAAACTCCAAAACCGGAAGTAAGGTTCTGGCGGCCATCTTTGACTTCCGGTCGTGATAAAAATATCCTGTTGCACACCTAGACACCCTAATGAGTATGTGTGTGAAGTTTCATGATGATCCGCTGAATAGTTTCTGAGAAAACCTCTGGACAAGTTCATGGCTGAAGAAGAAGAAGAAGAAGAAGAAGAAGAAGAAGAAGAAGAAGAAGAAGAAGAAGAAG